AGAAGACCTCTGGAGGACTTTTTCTGACTATACGCCTGACTTAGAAATCATCTTGGCAACAAGTTCTAACTCGAGTTCAAACATAAGCCACGCTGGGTAACCTCTGAGGAGCTCCCTCAGATTTATCAGCATAGCCTTGCATATCTCACTGGCTTTTGCTAGTAGTGTTGACTTTACTGGGTGGGAATGAACCTGCAAGGGCTATAATCTGGCACACGAGGATCTTCTAAGGATAGCACTAACACAGCTGCGAGGATCAAGGCAGGCAGCTGCTAAAAAAGAAAAAAGCTACTAATAGCCAAATACATTGCCCTAAAGGACTAGCAGATAGATGAAGCTCTAAAAGTTATAGATGATTTTACTATAATTGTTGTTTGCATACAGATTTCTTTTCTGCTGGACAGGCACTCAGTGAGATCCAAGTACTCTATAAGAAGAATCTGCATATAAGCAAATGACTCTTTTCTCTAGAGTATTTAACTTCTGACATCCCCAGAGGTCAAGCAGCAGGCTGGTAGCCTGGAGAATAAGAGTAAAGCCAACTGGGTCCCAGCTGTCTCAATGGTCCAAGATTCAATTACCTGTTAGACATGTCAAGAGACTCCAACCAATCCAAGCTGTCATTCTGCATGTGCTGACAAGCGTGCACACAAGATGTAGCCACAAAGGCATCTTTTACGTCCATAAACATAGGAGTTCAGCAGTGCAACTGTACCCTGTTTAATGAATACAAAGCTTCCAGTTCAATATATACAGTGAAATGGCAAAAACAAGTTGTACCTTTACAAGTCTGTTCAGCTGCAGCATTAAAGTATCCAGCTCTTATCTCAGCTGTTTGTAATGTGATAAAACTTATCTTGGGATAACAGCAATAATGTCCATTTCTTCTTCAAATGTGACTTCCAAAGCATAGTTTTGTTTTGTTTCTTTTAAACAAAAGAAGTATCATTGAATCCCTTCTATATACTGAGGATACTACATCAAAGAAGTAAACTGATGTACTTAGAAAAGCCATACAAAGGGGAACTATTCCATCAGGCCCTGGTACAGGGTTCCAGTCTCCTGCTCCACTCAGAAGTGATGCCAACAGTAAATCTATATAAATAGATGATTAAAGACCTGTCTTTGGGTGGGACCTCTCCTATCTAGGGAAAGCTTACCATAAAAATAATACACAATGAAGCCAAGGACACACTGATAATTTGTGGCACCCACTCATCTTGATTATTCTCCCTACAGCTACCAGGCTACAGTCACACCAGTTCTTGCCTTGCCTCCATCATTTCTGTCTGCTACTTCTTGGCAAGGCTCAGGAGGAGTGAAACCTTTTATGCTCTCTTATGGGATGCCTGCTGTGCAGCAGGGATCCAGTTCAAACGCTCTAAAAAAAAATGAACCCAATAGATGTGAAAACTGTTGATGCGAGGCTCCTTTAGTGGCCACTCTTAGGTCAGGCTGTGACAGCTGCTGATCAGTGGCTATTGAGGAAAGCAATTCTGGGTGTGCTATCAGCAGCGCTCAGAGACCTGCAGCTGCAGATTCATCCTTCCTCCCCCTCTTTTATCCTTTGCTCCCTGCCCAGCTATGAAGCTGTTGTGTACCTAAGACAGCCCAGCAGCTGAGCTTCTGGGGGTGAATGCTATGGAACAGTTTACATGCCTCATGTCATAAGCCCAGTAAATACCTAGTAAAACATGGTATTTAATGGAAGCATATCAGCTCATGTTAAAGCTTCTTTACCTTGTGCTGAGCAAACTGTTGCTATGCTGCCTTTTTAATCAGTTACCACCAAATGTGTGTGTGTGTGAGAAGGGTTTTAAACATTCCTCTGTCCATTTACTTCCACACAACAAACTGACAAGCTTACAATCCTCTTAATATGGCTTTGAAACACAGCACATTCACTGTTATCTACAGCATGCTATCACAGGATATTCTGTGGAGCCAGGCTTATAGAACATATCCCTAATGTTTCTTGTAAACCAGGTACATATCAGTTAGGCACACCACCAGGTACATATGAACCTCTGAAAGAATGTATAACAGGATGTTCAGGAAGTTACACCCGATGCAATATTCTCATAGTACAAAGCACAAGAGGCACTCCAGCAAATATCACTGATATAATGCTAATTGATGCCTGAGACATTCATGTAACCACATTAGCTCTTTTTATTTTAGAAGAGAACAGAAATTCAGTGCTCCACAGAATGTTGTTATCCCACCACAGAGATCCCAAGACATAAACCCTCTGCACAGACTGATGGAAGGTCCTTCACTCCCAGATTTCCTTTAAAGTGAATTCTGCTCTTTGCTTTTATAGAACAAACCAGATGTAATCCCCTAAATGCTGAATCTTTGAGGTACAATTCTGACAACATCAGAATTCAAATAATGCTGTTCCACTGAATGTCTGTCTCCCATTTTCTTGTATGTAAGCTGTTCATTTATTTCAAGAATTACTGTACTTCAGCCATGCAAGTCTGAACAAAATGCATAATCTTATCCATAATCTTATCCATAATCTTATGTTTCTATAATAGAAACATATCTAATACAGACTCATGTAGAGGTTGTAATGTAGCTCCTAACCCCCAAGAACACAACAAAATTAAAAAAAAAACATACACTTTTACAATGTCATGAAAGGGGGGGGGGGGTACTTTGATCTTATTTGCCTTGAATGCTGTAAAGGAAAGGCTGACAGGTAGAATTACATGCCACCAGTGCAAACAGAAGACTATTCACAGTTTATTCAGCTTTCTCACCTGTCAGATGGGTTTATTTCTACCAGGCAACTCTAGAAAAATGTTAGGCTAGATGAATATTTTTGTAGATTCTCATTGAGCCAGTGTAGCTCACTGCTGAATATTGGGTATGGTCTCTGTAGTCTCTGTTCAAGACAGTGAGTTGCATAAATTCTGTGAGTTGCCCAATGTGGAAGTTGAATCACAGCCTGTAATTTTGAGGAAATTTGAGCAATACCAGCCATCCTGATCCAGGTTCTATGAAAAACAACAACAAAACAAAAACTGACAAAAAAAAAAAAAAAACAAAAAAAAACCCAAACAAATAAAAAAAAAAAAACCAAAACCAAAAACAAACAAACAAAAAACAAAACAAAACAAAAAAACCCAACATCAAAACAACTACAATAGCAAAAAAAAAACAAAAACAACAACAACAACCTCACAAACCAGTAACATCACTATGGGATGTTCATCATAAGAAATAATAATTTTTAAAAAGTCCTAAGAGGTAAGTCTTTGAAGGCAGATTTCCTGCATACTTTCCCTGCCAGTTCACAGTATTTGGGCTTGCTACATTTTCTTCATTTATTTGCTTGACTTGCTGTCTGCATGTAGTTAGATAGTTAACAGAAGCACGCCTGTCCTTGGAGGCCAATGTGAGTTGACTGGCTGTGCCTTTGGTTCAGGTCCATTAAAAAATCTGAGCATTAATTAATCACTGACTTGCAAATAGCTTGGAAGAGTTGTTCAGGCTAAATGGGAACGTTCTGCAATTGTTTTACTCTTGGTTACAGTCACTTCTGTGCGATGAAAACGTCTCCCTTGCCAGGATACAGCATGCATAAATCCAAGCACTCCTGTGCTAGAGCAGACAGGACCAGAATCTGCATCAAGCAGCTCCTTTTCTTTCTTTAACTAGGAAACTGCACACTTGAGGAAGAGCTGTCATAAGTAGCCCTCCTGAATCCCATTGAAAAGGCAATAATAAAATCTACCAGGGCAAAATGACAGCAAAGCATATGACATGGGCAGACAGCCTTCTGGAATCCTTCTGGAAAAAGAAACTGAGCCAGGATGACCTGCAGGTCATCAAGAAAAACATACTCAAGGGAATCATGATCACATTTGTATAGGGACTCTTCCCACTCCTCGCTGCAAAAGCTATTCTTGATAAATAAGAGGATAAATAAGCAGTTGTCAGTACAAAGAGTGCTAAGTGAGGAGGAAAATAAGAATAGAAAATAAGGCACATGTCTTACAAGGCCAAAATACCAACATAAGGAAATAAATATCTAAACCAACATGAAAATTTTGTCTTCAGTGGCAACATGCAGGCGTAATAGTCAAAATGACTGAAAAAAAGGACTTTGTATTCCAAATGCTCAAGACTTCTAACTCACCTTAACATATTCAGTCTCCTCTCCCAGATTTTACCTTCCATTCCAAAAGCTAAATCAAAGAACAACCATGCAAATGATTCAGAATTATTTTCCAAAAGCTACCAAGATAGAACGACAAAATGAAACAAGATATTCAGGCTTAAAGTATAGGCAATGGTTATTTGATTGAGGACCATTAAAAAAAAAAGAAAGATAAAAACAGGTCAATTCTAAATTCTAAAACACCACAATTCTATAAACTGTTGGATACAGTGAGATAGCCAGATGGATACGTGCCTTTTCAACAGCGAGACAACGCACCTACAAGTCCTCAAAAATGGGGACGACTTTTGCTTTATTTGTAGAGCTCGCTTTCCATTTCTTTGTCAACCAGTATTAAAGATCTGGCTCTGAGGCAGCTGCAGAACCTAATGAACACTTTAGAGCCTTTTGGCAGCAGTTCAAAGGCAGAGAAGTTATTTTAACTCAGTACCAAAGATGCACTTTCAACTTGCTATTAAAACAATAATACAAATGCAGGTATAATGAGAGTATAAGGAGAGAAATGAAGAAAGAAATAGAAGATTGTGGAAAGGAATGGATCAGAGGCTCTCCAGGACTTGTTTGCATAGTAAGTGTGTGAGACAATCTCCTACAAGAGGGAAATGGTTTATTTGATCTAATGCGCCTTTCTCTTCTTGAATTTCCATAGTATGGAGAATCAATATGAGGGAAATTAAAGCATCAGGAGCAGACTCACATTTCCACTTGTGTGTCCCTATCTCAGCAAACTCTTATTGAGATAGAAGTATTTACCTTAAGTGCTCAGTTCACGTGCTCTGCAAGAAGAGGCAGGATTTCAAAAGGATACATGCTTCTTCTGTGTAAGGGACAGCAGCAGTAGTTCCACCCACGATGTAGCTGTAGAATGAGACTTCCAGGGTGTAGCAGTAGGACGTATCATTTAACAGCCCACCAAGAAAACGCCGGCCTGTCCCTGCTTTCACAGCATCTCGGTTGAAGGATGTACTGGACTGCCAGGGAAAGAACACAGAGACATGAAGGGAGTTCATGAGTGGAACAAGGAAAGGGTTGGGAAGCAGACTGTTAAAATAGAAAACAGTGAAATTCACATTGCCAAATCTCAATTACGTTATTTGAGACTGTAATATTTTTCCAGCGGTGGCCTGGAGAGACTATTAATGGAAATACGATTCTGGCACACAGAACTATAAATAAGGCCTTGCAAACTTTCACAAAATTAATCTCAGTTCACAAGTAAGATTACCTTTTCTTCTCCCCTTGTGGATAGCACTTAGAGAAAGCCTGTTGCATGTATGAGCTGAAAAAGAACACTTTAGATCCATCATTTCAAATGCTAAGCCATAAACACTATTTGGATATTGGGTTTCTTCTTTCTACTGCAATTCTCCTATACCTCAGCCATTCTCACCAGCCTGGAAGCTTTAAGCAAAGTAGAAATACAGCAGTATTTACATCTTAGTGAAACTTTCTCACCTAGGACATTTGACTGCTTCTTAAATTAGGTCACAGAAATTTCCACTTCACTAACTTAAGTGTTAACTGGGTGTTGCTCTCCCAGTGGAAAAATATACTGCACTGTTTTACAGCACTAGTAGCACAGTGTTAAACACTGTATTTTGTGCTATTACTGAGGAACTGACTTTAAGGACCATGCAGCTTTATGACTATTCATTTGGGGGATGAAGGGGAGGATTCCAAGTATTTCCAAAAACAAGTTTTAGCTCTCTTTTGAAGGCACGGCAGTACAAAAGGGACATGGTTGAATGGGGAAATATTCATAGAAGGTGGACTGTTGGACTGGCTTATTTTGGAGGTCTTCTCCAACCTTGGTGATTCCATTATTCTATCTGGATACCAAAGTGGAGCTCACCATTAGGTTAATCAAAATCTCAGAGCATGTTCTACCAAAGACATAAAAATGGAATTTGATTTCATTCTGGTTACCAGACCCTAATAACCACTAGACTAAGTCACTTTGGGTTAAGCACAACCTAATGATTGCTGAGGGGAGAGAAAGCCAACAAAAAACCCTATGCTTCATAGATCCAACTTACATTGGTTGCATAAGAAGCCTTTATATCTCCTGCTTTAAGACTTTTAAGTCTCCAGAGAAGAGAGAAGCAAAAAGGACCCTCAGCATATAGTACAGTTCAGTCATTGTTCCCATGGTGAACTATCTGAGCAACCGAGAGTTCTCTGACTGAGCCTTAAGACTTGTGTATTTTCTTATTAACATAATGTTAGCGTGTATCAAAACAAGGGAAAATAAGACTTCTTATCTTGTCTATAAAAAAATAACAAACAAGAGATGCAATCATTCAAAATGCTAAAATTCTATAGACCAACAGAAGCACACTAACACTGAAATGAGCAACAACTCTTGATGAATGGTGTATACCAAAAGATATGAAGAATGGAAATACCTGTAGGCTTATTAGCATTCTGAATGTTTTGAAGTCTCTCATGTTATAAAAAGGAAGGCTTTCCAGGTTAATTAGAATAAGATGGAATTGGGTTTCTTATTAGCATTATATGTAGGACTTTCTAAATGTGATACTGCCTGAGTGGTAACACAATATTGCAGAAAAAGGTTGCACTGAATTTATTCTGCTATATACGTATCCTATTTTTTTCCTTCAAATTGCCATTTGGAAGGAAATGCAATGGAAGAATCTTTCAGGATGGTCAGAATACTTGTGGGACAGAGAGCTAAGGCACTCTTAAGGACTGATGGGAAAATGAATTGTTAATTTGTTGTATGGAATAAAATACTTGGGGAAGTCTGGAAGAGGGAAAGTTTTCTGATCTCCTGCAATAGAAGCCTTCAAAAGACCAAGACCCTGAAACTGGAGGGAGCTGTATCTTGAGTTAAGATCAAAAACAGAAAGGAAGATGATCATACTCTGGAGATTTCCTCATAATGCAAGCACACTGATTTCAGTGGATAGAACTTCACGTTCAAACGAATGTCTATGGTGAAATATTTACTGTACTAAAGCATCAGCTGGTGAATTTGGGTGTGTGGAGCCAGCTCAAAATAAGAAGATAACGTGTCAGAACACAGTTACTGTGGTTTGTGAGCACGAGCATCACTCACAAGAAAAATGAGCTAAGTCTATTTCTCTGCTCAGCACAAGTAAAACAATGGAAATGTTGGAGAAGTGATTCAGGGCAGGCACTAGGACAAAAAACGCTCCTGTCATTTGGAAGCTGAGGTACTTACTGTCACTGAGTATCATAAAGATAGTATATTTACAAACAAATTGGACAAATATCTGCCAAGTATAATTCATCTTTCTTCGGAATCCAGTTTGGACTTGAGGTCCTTTTCCAGCTGTAATTCCCATAATTTCAGTCAAACTAGATAAAGGTTACTGGTTGAATTTCTCAGAGATGATTCTTGATATAAATCTTACATAATATTTTCATCACAGTTCTTGGCACAGTAAAGGAGGACCATGCCAACAAAATTTGCTGATGACACACTGTGGAATGAATCATCATTATGGAGGAGGCTCTGAATATCATACAAAAAAGCAGTGGGATGACTTTAAGGACCAAAGTGATAGTAGTCAGATGAAACTCAGCTACACAAGTGCCAGGTCGTGTACTCAGAGTCTAATAAAAAACAATCTCTGCTATAAGCTGAAACCTCATCAGCTGGAAATAGATGAAGAGAGCCTGATGTATTACTTCACTGAAGTGATTTTTGCTTTCTGGCAGAAAATAGCTCAGAAGTTGGATCTAGTTATTGGCAAAATTATACTTGCCATATTTCAGAAGTGAATCGTAAGTGGTTTAAGTAATTTAAAGGAGGATTTTTAGATAGCCAAGAAGAGAAAACAAAATTTGAACCTTTCCATAGTTTGGATTTTTTATAATGCTATTTGATGTTGTAATTTTCTCTTTTCTTTTTAAAGAAAAGTTCCAGTTTCACCTGTGCAGAATTATTTCAAATAGTGGCAATGGCATGAATTAAATCATCTGTTCATTTCCCTGCCAGGCAGTGCTGCAGTTCCCACAGGGGAAAAAAAAAAAAAGTCTCGAGTAGAAAGGAATATCTCTGATTTGACTGAAGTGGGTTGAGATAGTGAAATATAAAGTAACCCTTCCTAAAGTATGAACACATGCAGGTTTTGAAACAGTGGTTTTGGGCTTGGCTATAGAACAATGTTACAAGCAAGAATGTGATTTAATGTGTTAGAAGAAAATAAGAAAATTCCAGATTCAAGACAATTCAAGTAATGGCAAGGTCAGGCAGCAGGTACTTGCTTGAGTTCAATCTGTTACTGTCTCAACTCAAGATAAATGGAATGGAAAAATATGTAAGTACTGATTCCTGATCTTGGCAACTGATAATGCTGAAACAAAGGGGATAAAAATCCATGTATTATTATTGCAAGGAAATAGCCATTTGCCTGCACATTTATTTAATCAAACTTTACTCTGGGGAAGAAGGGACAACAAGATGGGGAAAGAATGTAGGTACCAATGTCAGAAAATGAGTCTATTGTTTCTCTTTGAGAGAATCTATTGCTGAAAACCCTTGGAAAGCTGAACTGAAGTCATCATTAAGCAAATGCACTGAGCAGGCACAGCAGGAGAACAGCTAAACAAATATTTATTTCTCTGAGGCTGAATCGCATGGGAGTGTCAACAACAGCAGCAGCAAAAAGCACAAAATCAGACGAGGCAGGGTTGGGGAAGAAAAACACCAAAGACTTTGAAGTTCTTAAACAGAGATATTTGTACAAAATCAACAGTAATTCATTATTAAAACACACAGATACGTTAAAGCTCACAGAAGGACTCTGCCTCCTAGTTTGTGTGAGAAAATTCAGTACACAAATTAGCCATCTTCAGGGTTAGGAGATGCGCCAAGTAATGATAATTCGCTGCTGAAGGAGTGGAAGAGGAAGGATGAAAGATTCCCTCACATTCTGGTGAGAAGAAATACACCAGAAAATGACACCTGGTTCTTACAAAATCGGGAACCTTGAGGTGTATCTAGCCACTCTCTGCATCTTAGGCATTTGTGACAGATTTCCCAGGCCGCCCTACCAGATCTCTACCAGAGATCTCCCTACCAGATCTCTAGACTACCTGGTCTAGTATTGAATGTGGAGGTTGGTGGCCCTGCATGTGGCAGGGGGCTTGGAGATTCATGATCCTTGAGGTCCATTCCAACCCTGGCCGTTCTGTGATTCTGTGATCTCATCCCTCTTCCCCATGCTCTGCTGAACCCTTTCTGTATGATTGATTTTCCCACTAGGAATGACAACGATCATCCAGGCAAACAAAGAAATTTGTAAACCAATCGGACAACTGTGGCAAAAAAAGATGCATGGGATGGAAACACAGGAAAAATCTGCACGTGAATTCTTTACTGGAGGAGTCCCCATGGAAAAACAAAATGAAACAAAACAAAACAAAACATTCTTAGCCTTTGGTCAGACTTCAGTGTGCTAGAATCCCTATCTCCAGGGCAATCTTGTCTCTTGGCTGGTAAGGACACTCGACCACAGTGACCCTCAGTGAATTCAACAGCTTAGGCAGCTGCAATACGGCTGATGGATATCCTTGGTTTCTCAGTGCTGCTCTGCTGTCCTGCTAGGATCTGTAGAATCAATGCCCTGAGCAGCCCATATTCACATTGCAAAGGCAAGCAGTTTACTATTTCTGCATGTCCATATCAAAGTACAAGAGGGACTCCAAAAGACAAAGAAGAAAAACAACAAAAGTCCGTATCTGAGACTGAATGTACCCAAGTCTGTCCTTTGACTTCCTGGTGCACACTGAGTGGTTCTGCTCAGTGCCTATGTGGCTTCACAGGGCATTTGTCCTGCTATAGCATCAGAAAGCCTAGGGTTGCACAAGAGGGAAAATAGGATGCACATCCAGTAAATGTGGGTCCACTGATCTGTGGAAAAAGAGATGCCAAAGAGGGCTGAAATACCATTCAGGCTCAGTGTCAAGCTGGAGATGGATG